AACATTAAAATGGCTTATAATTTTTTTAAAAGGCAGTTAATATTTTACTTACCATTTGGTTTTGCATTTCACTTCTTTTTTTATTTAATAAAGATAATGTGTATATATCCATCACAGCAGTATTTTTCAAATTGAAAACAATGATTCAATATTTAAATGTAGCAGAGAGTGACCAAAGCTTTTCAAAAAATAAAACAGCTTAGAAAATACTAGAATCCATTGCACTCTGGGTATTTCCTCATAAAACATTTGTCGATGTGTGTGCTCACATATGCATATATGCATTGAAGGGTAGAGAGAACGGTAAGCAGATAGATAATGTCATTTTGGTGATTGATCACAGTGCTTCCCAAACTTGATGAAATGTACCATGAACATTGCTGTTTGCAGTGTTCACTTGTGACTTGAGCTACATGATGCAATTTAAAACCATGAGCAATCAAAAGTCTATCACAAATTGGCAGCAACAGCACATCCCAGAGCCTTCGTTGAGAATTTGATATTAAAGCTGGACTAGGGTATTATCTCCCCCAGAAGCAGAAAGTATGGCATGAAAGGGAAAGACTCTGGCCTGACCCCACCAGCTGATGCAGGCCCTCTAAGGTATGTTCTAGAAAGAGCATGGGTGCTGGCATAGGCGGATGGCAAGAGGGGATGTGACTGTGGACACCCCACCCCCACCCCCGGGAGGCTGTCCTGATGTCTGAGGATCCTGGATCACGGCTTCCCTGAACATCCCCAATGGTGTCACCGACCTGGCATCACACATCAAGGACATTCACCGAGTGGCTTTGGGATGCAAAGCTCTTTGCCAGGTTCCTCCAGGACACAGAACATGCCTTTACCTAAGACATTACCCCAAAATATCAGCTCAGACTAATTTCCTTATTCTTCAGCAGCTCAGAGGGCGGGTCCACAGCTGCTCCACTGACCAGGAGGAGAGATGCTTCCACAGAGGGTGATCCTCACAGGCCACATCCCCACCAATGCACAAATCTGTGCACCAGGCTTCTAGAATATATGTATTATGTATTATATATAGTTTTAAAAGAACATATGTAGCATATATTCTACTTATATCTACTTCCACATAAGAATGGTCTATATTCCAGTGTCAGTAGATAACCATTATTTTCTGTAGAAATAGATGAGGCAGGATAAGGGGCAGGTAGGTAATAGGTAGATAGATGAGTAGTTATCTGATTATGTGTATGAAGTGTATATGTTACATAATTGAAATATACTGCACACATAAGTTTTTGTGCTTCATTTCATATATTCTCACATGATTAAAAGTTGCTGTGTCAATACTATTTTTCATAATTATGTGATTCTTAATAAGTAAGAGAAATAGCATACCTGCAAGCAATACTAACCTGACCAACACCACTTGCTATGCTGCCTTTTTCTTCTCAGTTCTTATGTAAGTAAAAGGTAGTATTCTGCAGATGTTCCAACCAATAAATTTAATGCTTATCACTTTTCATTCTCTGTGCCACAATGTTCACATTTATACCTTTGGAAAATTAGCTGCTATAAAACCAGACATAACTAAGTGCAGAATTCCCTAACAGTTCGTAAGTAGTCAGTCATGAACCTCTTCAAGTGACTAGGTCAGCCTGAGACCTAGTCAGTTGAAGAGGCTTTTACTGCCACCCCCTTCTAGGACTTGGGAACATATGGACAGGCCGCTCTGCAGTTCCAGTGCCTCTCTGGATTCTGGTGGCCTTCACCTCAACAACATCTGGCAACTGTTGATTCTGGCTCATAGTTCTCAGCTGGAGGTGATTTTGACCCCAGGAGACATTTAGTAACGCCTAAGGCTTTCTTGGTTGTCAAAACTGGGGAAGGAACTACTACTGGCATCTAGGAGGCGGCAGCCAGGGATTCTGCTAAATATTCTACTGTGCATGGGATAATCCCTTACTCCAAAGAGTTATCAGGTCCCAAATACCAGTTGTGCTGAGGTTGAGAAAGCCTGAGCCGGGCATCCTGTATGGCTGGCCCAGGGCAGGCGCTATGACATTAGACCTAGGTGCATGCAGCTTGAGCATCTGAGCATCCATCCTGGGCCCTGCTCTAGGAACCTCAAGGACTTCGACTCTGGAGACATGGCCTCTACTAGCAAAGTATAAGAGGTAATGAAAAGACAGAAATCAATGGAATTTGTAGGATTTCCTTGACTGTGCCAGGCTTGCCTCTTTGGTTTCGTTTTCCCTCCGGATGTCTTGGGTGGAGAAAGCATGGGATACTCCTGGCACAGTGTGAGGAGAGCCCTTGTCTGAAAGCGAAGAAGCTGGGGAGATTCGAAGGTCCCATGTACCGCTGCCTTTGGGCTCATTCTATAACTAAGACCTTGCTTTGAGGCCCTTGTGAGGACTTTATACCTCTCTCCATCCTACCCCAAAATGCTTTCTGGCAAGATTTGAGTTTAATTTTCCCAGTTACTAGTTGAGCCAAGATTATTGGAGGAAGGCATTCAGCATATTGATTTTTTTGTCCATTAGGTAAAGGGACATTTATTTCTAACAGGAAATGGCTGTGTTAACTACTATAATGGCTTCCTCCACCATTGGGAATGTTGCTATTATTAGAGACCACTAATTATGGCCTGAGCCTGGTATAGCAAAAGAAAGATATAAAATGTTACTGTAATTGAGTGGAGGATGTGAAATTGCATAGTGTCTTACGGTCCCTGTGGGCATCTGTCTTGAAAATTCTTGTGGTGAGGTCAAGTCATGGTAGTTCAGAGAAACTGAGATTTGGTACAGCCATGAAGAGTCTCACACAGGAACCACACTGCCTGGGCTCCACAAAGCTCCCACAATTACAGTCTTATGGACTGTCAGCGTGGTACTTACATGCATGCACACATGTAATTACATGCATACAGACATGAAACTACATACATGCACGCTCTACTTACGTGCACACACAGTACTTACACATGTGCACAGACAGTACTTACAAACTGCCATGCAGCTCAGTTTCCTCATCCATAAATGGGATCAGAATAATCTCTAAAGGCTTGGTGTGAAGAGTGCATAACATGGATATGTGTGAAGCACTCAGAAAAGAATCACTCAATCACTGTGAGCCCTAGTTTGATTTTGTTGCTATGTCTGGCTTTCTGATAGCAGGGACTTAAAAAAAAGATCTTTTTTAAGTTAAAAATGAAAAGATAACCATACTTCACCTGATTTAATTTTGGTTTTACCACGTACGCACTAAATGCAAGGTGTCAGTACAACTGGTGGTTGTCAATCTTTCTAAGAGTTAAACAGTTGCCAAAAGAAACCTGAGTTGAATATAGAATAAAGTGGTGGAAGCAAAACTGGGCTTCGTATCTCTGACTCAGCAGATAAAAAGCCAGAGAAACTTCCTAGTCTTTCTCTCTCACAAACTTCCAGTAAGAACAGCTGTTCTTTAATTTATACTTTAATTCAGCAGCACTTTATTTCACCTAAATTCACTAAATCCCAGAGAGATTTGGACACATAAATGATTTTGGAAATGTTATGGATTCTGAATAGGGCATTCTAGAAAATAAAGATGCAGTCTAATAATTTGCAGTTAACTCTGGCATTCCAATGGAAAAAAAGACAGTGAGTTTTAATCAAATAATGAAATTTTTCTTAGATAATAATAAAATGAGTTAGTTAAAAGAGCTAGCCTGTAATAGGTTTATTAAATTAAGCAATAAAGTTTCATTTTTTTAAACTTCCTATTGTCAAAATATTCACAGCTAATTTCATTTACAATGAAATTAAATGAAGGAACTATTTCTTTAAAGTTAGACATGGATTTTTTTTTTTCTTTTTTGGTGGATCTGGCTATGATCCAACCTCCAAATCCTGGTTTAATTATGGGTTCTTTGCTACCTCTGATTTTATAGTTGTCATTTTGTGACTGGCATTTAGACCTTCACAGTAATTTTCAAAATATGTAATTTTACATAAGAATCCCTCAAAGTGACCTTAAGATGAGAGTGTCTAGACATAATTATGGAGAGGAAGGAACTACTGACCTCAAGAGCCGATGGTTTCCAGGGCCATCTCGTTTTCCAATGTTAACTCCTGTGGCAGTGTTTCGTCTTTCTGCAAGCCTGAGATATGTAGGAGGGGCACCTGCAAGGTTTACCACACGGGCAGCACTTCCTAGTGTATATTTGGGAGTACTGGGGACCAAATATGATTGACCACGGGCTTCTACCTAGATGCCTGAACCCTAAGTGTGCCTTTCCACCATCCTCTGCATTTTCTGAGAACTTCTATTTTCGTCTCGGGTTCATTTGTCAAAGAGAACGTGAATATTTCTTGTGTATTATCCTTTTTGTCTAGGCTCAAAAATGGGTTGCCAGTCAGGTCTACTACCCAAAGAAGCATAGGTAAGGCCTGAGTTTTCACAAAGTAAAATTTAATTCAGTGATATTCATTACAAGTCACATCTCTCTAACTTTAAAATAGCAAGTTGTCTTCCCAAAGCTCTGCATCCTAAGGACAATCTTTCTCAGTAGCATTGCTTTCACAGTAAATGATGTTTTAAATTATATAAGCCAGATATTTCCTCACAATGTTAGCATGTTTCTACACTAAGCTCTGTCTCTTTGTCTGTAAAATAAAAGTGTCACAACCACACAGCTAAGGGCTTCCTGGTATCTAGGATCCCCTAAGTCTAACACCCAGCCAGTTTAATTATGGAGACTATCTTGCTGGATTTCCAAATACTTACGCGACGTTTCCAATGACACAGCCCTGCCTTGCCAAAGGATCCTCTCTTGGGCCCATTACCAACTATAATTCCCCGAACCCTCCACCTCTCCATGGACGTGGTGGCCCCTGCAGAGAGAATGACCCCCCCTTCGCCCCATGGGGACAGGAATTCAGCTGTTAGAGGTCCAATCGCCACCTTACCAAGTGCATCTGTGTTTGGCCACGTGAGAATGTGGATATTAACTTGCTTTCTTCCCTCCACCCTCCTCATGTCCGTCTCCCCAACAGAAAGGAGAACCTGACTGCCGGGCCCTCTCCCCAGAAACCACGGACCAGCTCACCTTCGAGATCCCCCTGAATGACTCTGGCTCCGCTGGCCTGGGAGTGAGCTTGAAAGGCAACAAATCTCGAGAAACTGGAACAGACATGGGGATTTTTATCAAATCCGTCATCCATGGAGGTGCTGCTTTTAAGGTGGGTAAGAATGAGCTTTCCCCGTCAGTGGGAAGGTACTCAGAGCTGCAGCTTTGGGGCCTGCGTTCTGGATGGAGAAGGTGTGTGAAGGGGAGACCAATGGGCCTTCGTGACACACTCAGAAATGTGTGTGGACTCATCTGGGCAGCAGGGGTCTCTCCTCAGACTTTAAGTGGTTAATGTCATTTCCTAGAGATGGTTCTGCAAACCCTCCATGATTAATATGCTCTCTTGCATTCTTCTTATTACTCTGTGTGAATGACTCTGGATGTGCGAGCTGACAGACTTCAACCTAAAAATACACCAGCAGAAAAACAGCACAAAAAAAATAAGTCAATGTCAAGGCAGCAAATAAGAAAACTGCGCTTGCAAGAAAGAAAGCTCGGTGGAGCTTGTGAGTGATTGTGGTAGAAGCTGAAGGCCGTTTATCACATTTTATGCACTTGGAGGTAACCATGGTGCTGGGAAGGCAGATTTGCCTTTGAACTTGGAGAAGCTTATACACCTCCCCCCCCCCCCAAAAAAAAGGGGTGGGGGGGAGAATGTGATTCTGCCCTTTCCCTTTGGATGGGAAGTGTGATCATAGCTGTGAGCATTGAATCAGGTATAGTTATTAGACGAACTGTGTTCAGTTCCAACCCACCAGCTGCTAGGAAGGAACTTGACCTGTCATGTTCCCGTTTCCTCACCTGTAGAATGGGGATAACAAGTAACACATAATCCAGGGGTTTCTCAGGATTAAATAAAGAGATACAGACCATGTGATTAAAGCAGTAAAGTGATCACAGAGGGAATCATGCTTGAGCTCGCTTCAGCTCTTGCTGGACAGTGAGATCTCCTGAGTTTGCGTGCGGCCTCAGCTACTCTCTCACTCTGTGTTTGTAGGCAGGCCACTTGTCCTCACTATGGCTGAGTTTCCTCATTTGTAAAAAGAGTAAAATTAGTAGCGCCTACCTCCTGGTGCTCTTGCGAAGACAAAAAAGAGCAATATGTATAAAGTGCCTAGCACAGTGCCTATGATAAGCCTCCAATAAATGTTAGCCATTTTTAAATAATCTTCATATTAATAATGTATGCCACCTCCCCCACAAAACCCAAGCAGAACTAGTTAGGTTTATAGGAGCAGCCTGCTCCTAGAATCCTGGTTTTGTGGGAGTATTTACATATATATATATTTTTTTAATATATATATATATATATATATATATATATATATATATATTGATTTCAGAGAGGAAGGGAGAGGGAGAGAGAGATAGAAGCATCAATGATGAGAGAGAACTGTTGGTCAGTTGCCTCTTGCATGCCCCTCACTGAGGATCAAGCCCACAACCCAGACATGTGCCCTTGACTGTAATAGAACCCAGGACCCTTCAGTCCGCTGGCCAACACTCTTATCCACTGAGACAAACCAGCGAGGGCCATTTTTCTTCTTCACCCTACCATATCACTTTTGTTTCTTAGGCACTGGGAAACAGTGTCTCTCTTCAGTCTTTTTCCTTGGTAATAAGAATTGCATTGTGGAGAGACAATTCTTTAATGCATTCCTCGGATCCATCATCTTTTGTTGTATAATAAGTGACAAAACCATCAGCTTTTGTTTCATAATAAGTGACAAAATGTTAATAACATACATCGGTAAACTTTTATTTCCTTCATGACCCTCATGACTGCAGGGCAGCCAGAGGGGTTCAGATTCAGGCCAGCATCTATCACACTGTAGGTTGACAAGTCTGACTGTGGTCCCCACATCCCTGGTGTCCTGAGCCAGCAGACTAGCTGCAGCACGTTCCTAATCCATGAGCTGTCAGAGGGACCACAGCAATGAGTGAAGCCTCATAAGTTCTGGGATCCAAACTGGCTCACAGTAATTACACACACAGGCACACACACACACCATTGGCCTAAATAAGTAATATGATGGAATCCAACGTCAATCCAAGGTGTGAGGAAATACATTCCACCCCTGATGAAGCCATAGCAAAATGTGGGTGCAGAAAAGGATGGAGATTTGAGGCCCATCATACAATCTACCAACAATCTAGCTCCAAAATGCAGAGCCAGGAGCAGAAGGAAAAAAATAGTAATAATGACAACAACAGCAAATAACATTCACTGCATGAAAACTATCTCTCCGGCTTCTCTCATTTTGCTCTCGACGTTCACACTAGATTATGAATGCAGTGGTTAGTGCCCCTCCACAGTGTGCCTGTCTGTGGTCACATAGCCAGGATTTGCTCAACCTAAGAGTTGAACCCAGGCAGTCTGCCTTCAAACCCTGTGCTATGCTGCCCTGAGATGCAGGCTCTTTATCTGATCGGTTTATCTTCCTAGAAATCAGGGCCTGTCGCCCCGGAACTATCTTGTATCAGGCTTGTCATTCTGAGCCAAGCCACCTAAGCATATGCTTGCTATGTTTGAGGGTGAGACTTGGTTATGTTGGTGGACATCAGCTTGATATTACTCTTCTTATTCCTGATGACAGCTCTATTTGCAGAATTTATTCCAAGTAAAATTGAAACTGAAATGAATTTTGGGAAATTAAAAGCAAACATCTTAGCTTTCTTTATGGGCAATAACTTAGGTGCAAGCGGCTACTGGAACACTGGTTGAATATGGATATCCATGTTTGTGAAAGTGAGCATCTCCTTACCTAAGCAGTTTCTAACGGGCCTGTTTCTTGCAGGAGGATTTCACTTTCCATTTATGTAAATTTCTTTCCTGATGCTGGTCTGCTGAGTCAGACGATCACACCATTAAAGCCCGCTGGACAGCATGTTTATAGCTGATCTTAGGGAGCAAAAAGCATCAATCACGGGTTTAGCCTTATTATGGCGGTTTGGTATCCATTTGTCTTGTTTACTTAGTGCAGTGGAAAGGCTAGAGGCCTTAAGCATTGCTCATAAGAAATCTGATTCACTAGGGAAAACAGAGAGAACATGTCACTCTTCTCCTTCTGCTGTTCCAATCATCTACCATTACTCCTCAGAAAATTGCCGCCTACTCTGTGATTCAGGATTATGTTTTACAAAAATTGTTTGGAGACTTTGTTCCTGTCCCTGTTCAGAAGACACCGATGTAACAGACTGCAGGTCCCCGGGGCCATGGGGAGATAAGCTTGGGGAGCTTGGGCTTTAGCATCTGGCCCCAGGATTTTACCTGAAACCACCAGAATCATCTTTCCACAGGAGCACCGTCTTTCTCCCGGCCCTTCAGACCACTAATTGGTTCTCAAGGTGTTGTTTCCCTTTCAGGAAGGTGGGTTTTTGAAAACTAAACTACTTTGATAAGTATGACCAAATTCTTCCTGTGGATTCTGTGCGCTGTGTTCTCCCCAGGGCTTCGGTTGGTGTAAACAAAGATAGCCTACTTCTTGCCAGATGTAAAACCCTGGAATGACTAGGGCTCTGCTAGGAGGCTTCTGTGTTTTCCCCTTACCTTTCAGGCTACTGCTTTCTATCATTTCAGTTCTTATTTGAGTCATTTCCAGCAGAGAAGTAAAGCTCTCTTTGAAAGTAAGAGCATCCAGCTAGCCCGGGAAGTGAATTCCTCACTCACTCTACGGGAAAACAAAGTAATCATTTTACTTATTCAGATTTGCCCAAATGCTTAAATATTTAAATTCCAGTCAAGAACCCTAGAAACTCTTCCCTGTTCGTGTTAGGACACAGCATCTGCCATTTCAGACTGCTTTGCATCTACAGTTGTGTGTGGCTCCCTCCGAGACATTGCGTTGAGCATCCTTAGCAATGTGCGAAGTGACCTTGGACCATAACAGCCAAATACAACTAGAAGTATTGATCCTAATATGCTTAAACAATAACATGTGTTGCTGTATGTCTATAGTTTCTTTTCAGTTTCTGTCATTCATTCGTCTTGGGCATTTGCTCCTGAAGTACAGGGCAATTATTTGTAGAATCAGCATATTCTAGACTCAGGCATGCTAGTAGGTGTTAATTTCTCATGACCCAGGCACTAGGAGTGGAATATGTCAGTATGCCATGAGGATACTTTTCCAAGATTCCACTTTTGGTATTGGAATTGAAAGTTAATGTGGTGGTGTTGTTACTGTTAAGTGAAAAGAAACACCTTTGTTGCATTTAGAAAAAGAAAAAAAAAATACCTTGAGAAAGCTACCCTCCTTTTTCAAAATTCACACAAAAATCAGCTTTTCCTTTTTCCCACAAAACCTTGATTATCAGGTTGAAGACCTTACATGTTTTTACTTATTTGGTAAACATTTTTGAATTCTGAAATCAGTGGCTTGTTTAGTTTGTTTTTTTGCTTTGCTTTTGATGTACTATGTCATTTAAACCTTTTTTTTCTTTTGGAGAAAATACATTTTTACATCTATTGATTATACTAACTTAAACTACTTGTTTTGTTTTTGTCTTTTTTTTTTTTCCTAACAATGAATCATTTTTAGAAAAATATCACTAGGATAGTGATATTTTGAAGATTTAGATAGACTATTAACATATAGTAAAAATCAAAATCTCAGTCTAATTTTTTTATTTGAATATACTGACTTTGGGACTGAAAAGTGTCCTATGGAAACCTTGAAATAATAAGGTAAAATTAAAATTTAAAGACAATTTTTGCTAAGGGAAAAATGTCGTGTACCAGGTATATTAAGGGCTTTTAAATAGAAAGAATGAATTTAAGAATACCTGTTATTCTCTCGAAAATTAATTAGCGAGGTTTGTGCTTAATAAATACTACTTGATGATGATGAAATTAAATGAAGGAAAAATGCCTGACATAGCTAATTGCAAATGCATGCACTCAGAATATGAAATAGATATAATTTAAATGATTTGATTTTGGTGTGCTTAGGAAATTCGATGCAGAATTTTTATAATCTACACTGTTTAGTAATTGGTAGAAGAAAAAGTTTTATCTAATACAAGCAATCCTCCTATTTTTAAAATGACTAAACTACAAATTTTTGGAGAGACTCTGCCCAGTTCCAGAATTTCTGGGAATCTGGGCTGATGCTA